GTTTGTGTTGGCCAAAGTGCCAGTGCTCAGAGGTGGTTGGAATGTCTTCTCCTGGGCATAAATAAGGTTGTAAAGATGTTTTCTCTGAGCTGCAAGGGCATTTCTCAAAACATCTGTCTTTCCCAATCCTTGCTCAAGCTAACCTCACCCATCTCTGCTCATTTCCATTTGTGTAGCAAACATCAAGCGCTGATGTAGATCATTCTGTGTAATTCTGTGAATGTTTGCATTCAACCCTATGTAGTCAGTGTTTTAGGTGCTTTCATATATAATTATCCTATCACCTCCTTCGGACGGGCAACACCCTGAGAATCAATCCCTGTTCCTTCTCCTCTACTCTCCTCTCTCCCTATGCTTCTCAAAAGGACCTGTCTCTGCCTATAAGAGGGTATTTGTCCCAACAGTACCCTTGCCTGCCAGGCTGGTGGCTGAAAACTCAAAACTATAAAAAATAGGTTTCAAGCTGCCATTTGCAGCTGGCCCCGTGCTAGACCCAAATAACAACCTCTGTACTCCATGGCCAGCATGGATCCTCATCAATCCCTCACATTTCAAATGGCACCATAATCTCAGCAAGTGCTCCTACATCCTGTTCTGCCCTTCTGGATATCTTGGAACCTCCTCCTAGGAAACAATCAGTGCTCCATTTTCTTTCCCCCAGGGAGGTGTCACAGGAGAAGCCTATTGGTCAAGCAGTAATTATGACAGAGAGATTATTTTCCTTTTGTGAAAACAAGAGAAGCCACTGAGACCTAAGCCTCCACCCTGAGCAGGCTCCAGTAAGAAAGGAAGTGGGTCACAATGAACACAGGGAGTTCCTGTGTTTTGTACCAGGGCTGGGAAGTCAGCAGCTAAAATATCTGATTAGGATGAAGCAACCCATCTGGCTGGCCAGTCTGTATTAAACTGGGATTTCTCCAATTGGAGCGAGGCAAAGGGTAAAAGAGAGGTAAAAGGGTAAAAGACTCTTCCCTAAAGGGTCTAGACTACCTGGTCTCCTTAGCCCCTCTTGCTTCAGCTTCATGCCCAGATACTTCTAGATGCAGATGCTGTGTGAATGTTGGGCAACAGCAGAGGTGATCTCTAGGACCTTATATTTAAGTTGAAATATGATATATGCGGCCGGGCACGGTGGCTCACACCTGTAATCTCAGCACTTTGGGAGGCTGAGGCAGGCGGATCACGAGGTCAGGAGATTGAGACCATCCTGGCTAACAAGGTGAAACCCTGTCTACTAAAAATACAAAAAATTAGCCGGGGATGGTGGTAGGTGACTCTAGTCCCAGCTACTTGGGAGGCTGAAGCAGGAGAATCGCTTGAACATGGAAGGTGGAGGTTACAATGAGCCGAGATCTTGCCACTGCATTCCAGCCTGGGCGACAGAGCAAGACTATATCTCAAGAAAGAGAGAAAGAGAGAAAGGAAGGAAGGAAGGAAGGAAATATGACATATGCACAAAAAAGAAACCCATGGAAGACATACAGTGGGAGGGAGCAGCAGCTTCTTGCTATAAGAGCTCTGTAGGTTTTTAAAACATCACTTCACATTAGGATGAATGGCAGTGATTTCACAGAGGAAGATGATCTGAGGCTGGGCATAAGAGATGAGGAAGATTGGGATGTCAGACTGCTTATCTTCTGTAGACTATCTGCAAAATCAACTGCGGCTTTGTGTAAAAGTTCCTGGAATCTAGAAGACAAGAGTACCAAGCGTGACAAGAAGAAATAGAAGAAACCCTGGGTTGTTTGCCGTAACTTTTCTTGTTTATTCAGCCAGTCTTGGATTCAAACCTGACTGCCAGTTACTAGCACTGTGCCCAAAGGTGATTGGCTTAACCTTCTGAGCCTCCGTTTCTTCATCTTTAGTCTAAGGGTAATAATGTCAGTGCTATAGAATTGCTCTGAGGAGGCCGGGCATGGTGGCTCAAGCCTGTAATCCCAGCACTTTGGGAAGCCAAGGCAGTTGGATAGCTTGAACTCAGGAGTTTGAGACCAGCCTGGGCAACATGGTGAAATCCTGTTTCTACAAAGAATACAAAGATGAGCTGGGTGTGGCGGTGCACGCCTGTAGTCCCAGCTGCTCAGGGGGCTGAGGCAAGAGGGTCACTTGAACTAGGGAGGTTGAGGCTGCAGTGAGCCAAGATCTTGCCGCTGTACTCCAGCCTGAGTGACAGAGTGATACCTTGTGGAGAGGAGAGGACGGAAGGGGAGGGGAGGGGAGGGGAGGGGAGGGGAGGGGAGGGGAGGGGAGGAGGGGGGAGGGAAGAGGAGGGAAGGGGAGAGGAGGAGAGGAGAGAGGAGAGGAGAGGAGGGGAGGGGAGGGAAGGGGAAGGGAGAGGAGAACGAGGGAGGACAGAAGGAAGAGAGGAAGGGAAGGAAGGGAAGGATCATACATACATAGACAAGTGTATTATTTCAACTGGAATGAAAAAACTGGAACCAAAAATACTGTCCTGCCTTCTTGGAGAATGGCCAGGGGGAAACCCATGATGGTGTCTCTGCACTAAGCTGGCTGGATTTGGGGAGCTGTGGTGAAGATGGGGACTGTGTAGCCCTTTCAGGTCTCAGGTAAGGAAATGGAGGCTTTGCCAAGATCTCATCATCCACTCTTGGCCTTTGCCTGGGGAGGCAGTGCCATTCATTTCATGGCAGGTGGACAGTGGAGGTAGAGCCAGCACTACCCGGGCTTCTCATGTAGGGGTTAGAGTCCAGGGTGGCCTGAGGTCCTTGGGATGACCCATGCTTTAGGCCCTGACCTCACCTTTTCCCCTGGAAAGAATGGTGGTTGGGAGCTTATGAAATGACCTCCTCCAGCCTGACCCAACAGAAGTGCCTGCCCTGCTCAGGAGGACTTCTTCCTCCCTGGGCCCTAACTGTTTACATGCTCTCAGAAAGGCAGGTGTCAGGAGGCAGCTGCTGCTTGTGGTTAGCTCCCCCTAAATACAGGAGCACCAGCCTTCCCCACACCCACTGCCATTGGCTAACAGGAAGCCAAAACAGGCTCCCTCTCCCCGCCCTCAGCCACCCCAGCCAGTAAATAGACAGTACAGGAAACACCTGGAGGAGCAGGCAGCTGGCAAGGGAACACTCTGCCCACAAAGAGAGGGTTTGCAGGGGACTAACTAGGCTGGGGAGGAGCTGGGTGGGGGGGTTGGTCAGGCGCTTAATTGCACTTCTTGTGGCACCCACCAGCTGCTGGGAACTAACAGCTGAGTTGCTGAAATGCACCATCCCCCTCCCAGTCCCCCACTGACGCATACACAGTAAAGGGATCATCCCTCTCTAGCACCAGCTTGCCTTGAACGAGGACAAGAGCAATCATATAGGAAAGACTCCTCAGAAGGCTTTGCCTCCTCACCCTCAGCCAGAGCTTCTAAACCTCTGTGGACCATGTGAAAGTAAACCCGTGGTCCAGGCATGAAGACTGAATCATCCGTCTTCATCAGCCCACATGATGCGAAAGCTCATTCCAAAGTTAAGTCTCCAGTTATTACCAAACTTATCTAGATCTCCATCTGTATCTAGATCTCCATCTTTACTGCTTATGATCTCAAGTTGTTGAGGTTCAGGGTGGAACTGACTTCACCGAGATCAAAAGAAACCCTGCCATCAGCATTCACCCAAGAACATGTTCACTAGTGTGTAGAGCTTATGCCGGGAACCATGTATGCAGGCAGGCTTAGCTTACAGAGTTCCTTGACGCCCTCCTAGGAGACTCCCAAATACTGCACTTTTCCTTTTAGGTTTAGAGTGGGAGGATGGAGGGATGGTGAGGAGGGGACTCTTGCCCCACAGCTACCTGAGGACCACACCATAGTTTGTTCAACCCATCTTTCATCCAGCGGTCAATGTACTTAGGCCTGCTCCGTGCAGAGTGGTAGACAAGCACGTGGAGGTGAAAAAGAAAATAGAAACAATGGTTCCCGCCATGGAGGCGTGAGTGACGACAGTTGGAGAGGGCAGAAAGGCTGCAGAGCCACGAGACATCAACTCAAAGCAGTGTGCTGCCGGGCACCGTGGCTTACACCTGTAATCCCAGCACTTTGGGAGACTGAGGCTGGCAGATCACCTGAGGTCAGGAGTTTGAGACCATCCTGGTCATCATGATGAAACCCTATCTCTACTAAACATACAAAAATTAGCCCGGTGTGGTGGCGGGTGCCAGTAATCCCAGCTGCCCAGGAGGCTGAGGCAGGAGAATGGCTTGAACCAGGGAGGCAGAGGTTGCAGTGAGCCAAGATCGAGATCGAGATGGTGTCACTGTACTCCAGTCTGGGTGTAAGAGCGAGACTCCATCTCCAAAACAAACAAAACACACACACACACACACACACACACACACAGCTTTGTGCACTGTGTTTGCTATAAAAATGTGAACAGTAATAAACTATGTGTATACATCCTTAAGGGATTCTGAAGTAAGAACTATGTCATAAAGATGTGAAGTGTTTTAAACCATAGGCATGAATGCTGGAAACCCCCGAGGTAAGAATGTACGTAGAGGACAAGTGGAATTATTCGGGGAAGGCATCCTGAAGAGTCAGCCATAAAGAGAAACAGCATCGTCACTGGAGGCAGGTGATTTAGGTTTTAAACCCATTTCCACCCCTTCTAGTTACTGGTGCCTTACTTTCTTCATCTGTGAATCTGAGGTTGTAAGAACTCAGAGACTGCGTTAGAGGTACTGTGTGTAAGGCACCAGGCAGAGTCCCTGGCAATAGTGGGTGTTCAGCACACAGTAGGCGCTCACGTCCTAAAAGAAAGTGATTTGTGCCATGTCAATTGGCAGAGTAGAGAAACTTGCAGATGTAGGCAGAGCTGCAAGGAAAGGTGGGCAGGAGAGAATTTGACAAGGTGAGGGGTTCTGGCCTGGTTGGGCTGTTGCACAGGGAGTTGGGGTTGGAAAGACTGCGAACGCCTTGGATTCCCATCTTAGGGATACAGAACAGCAAAGAAGGTCAGCAGGAAGGGAATGGCATGATGAAAATAGAGTTTGCACCCGTGCTTCAGCAGCACGCACGCTAAAATTGGAATGATACGGAGAAGATCAGCATGGCTCCTGTACAAGAATAACACACAAATTTCTGAAGAATTCCATATATTTATAAATAAAAAAACTGGAAAAAAAAAAAAAAGAAAAGAAAATACAGTTTGCATTGTCCCAGGATGAAGATCATTCCGGCGGTAAGGCAGGGAGGCAGGAGGCTGTCGTATGAGTGTCACGAGGACAAGACCCAGGTCATGTGTCAGCAGCAAATAGAACAGAAGAAATAGATTCTTTTTTTTCTGTTCCATGTGAAAACGAAAATAGAATGGTAAGAGATCATTGAGCACAAGGGACTCATTTTACAGATGGGAAAACGAGGCTCATGAAGGAGAAAAGGTGGTGCAATGATGTTATCTGCGGCCATTGTGGATTTTTCACAAGATGATTAATAATCTAAAAACTTTCAAAAAAGAAAGGAAACCTGGGCTCAGAGTGGGGAAGAGACTAGTTCAAGGCAAGGTATTAAAGACTTCTATTACAAGCTATTGTCAGCCCTGATGCTAGGCCCCCGATTTCCTAACAACTCCTACCCCATTTCCATCAGCCCCCAGCTGGCCTCCAAAGTAGGTATTGGGAAGGATTTCTCTGGATGGAATCAGTATTTAGTAGCTGTGGAATCTATTCTCCCTCTCCTGCGGCCGAGTCCAGAGTCCTTTTTTGGCGCCAGCCCAGCTTTCTTCTCTCCAGGTGTTACCTTTTAGGTAAATCCACTTAGGGAGTTGATTGATAATGAAGGCTCTCTCACATAGGATTTAAAGTGTGTACGCCCCCATCTAAATGACATTTACATGTCAATGGCAGGCACTTAAAGACCTAAAAGCCTGCAAGATTCAAAGGACCAAGTTTTCCTAAAGTGCAATCACAGGTTCCTAGTGAGTCCCAGCTCAAAATAGCTGAATGGGCTGAATTTTTTTCCTTCTACCCCTAATCTAAATTCCTTTCACCCACTGGCCTCCTCTCTTGGCAATTGGACATTCATTTGTTCAACTAAAATTCACTAATACCTACTAAGTACCAGGCACTGTCCAGGCAAGGTCTCTGGCCTACATTCTAGCTGTAAATTCAGGGTTATAAAACCGAACATCATAGGAACTTAAGAGAAGGCCACATATTCCAGTCTGCGAAGGGGAGATGTCACTGAAAATGTGAGCACTGAACGGTGAACACCAAAACGGTGTGAGCTTGAAAACGTGAGTGAACTTGGCAAAAGTGGGTGGACAGGAAGAGGACAGGGCATTCCTTGAGCAAAGGCTGGGAGGCTGCAGTCCCAAGCACAAGTTTAATGAGTACCAACAGCTGAAGGTGAGGAGAGCTGCTTTTTGTCTAATTTTCTGGGTGAAGAGGTCCCTTGTATGCTCTCATTTCTATCAACAACATGCAAGAATGCTCTTTCCTAGAGATTGTGGCTGTAGGGACAGCCTTCCACTGAGGTCCTCAATGCAGAGCACGCTCCTAGCTTGGGGGTAGGGTTGCAAACTCTTACATCCCATTCCCAGGTGGCTCCAGACATATCATAGGCCACAGTTGGGAGCACATGCAGATATGTACCTTAAAAAAATAGCGTTTGTCTGGGCTTGGTGGCTCACACCTGTAATCTCAGCACTTTGGGAGGCTGAGGCAGGTGGATCACCTGAGGTCAGGCGTTTGAGACCAGCCTGACCAACATGGAGAAACCCCGTTTCTACTAAAAATACAAATTTAGCCAGGCGTGGTGGCACATACCTGTAATCCCAGCTACTTAGGAGGCTGAGGCAGGAGAATCACTTGAACCCAGGAGGCGGAGGTTGCAGTGAGCTGAGATAGCACCATTGCACGCCAGCAACAAGAGAGAAACTCCATCTCAAAAAACAGAAACAACAACAACAAACCCCAGTGTTTAACACTTTCAAAAAATTAGTTGCCATCATTAGAGTTTAGGGAGATGTCAAAAGTCTATATTTTTGCTGCTCTTGAAAATTTCAATATCTGAAATCTCTGGTCTCTCATGATTACAGTGGACTAGAGCTAAGGAGTGGGGATCCTTTTCAGACAAGGTTGGAACTCACTCCTCAAGTTCACCACAGTTTCTGTCCAGCCAGCCTCACTTATCTGCTGCCTGGTCCCACCCTCGCTCCCATGCCCATCCCGTGCCCACCCCGTGCCCATCGAACTTTAAATGGCACTTCCCTGATGGTGATGTTAAGTAGCTCTCGCTCCAACTTACCCAGCTATTACCTCTTCTTATCTCATAGCAGTTTACGGAACAAGAGTTGAATCAAGGTTCACTCTTGTTTATAGGAATGAGGGTGGAGAATGGCAGAGCTACTGGGAACAATATGGCTTAGAGCTGCTGGGGGCCCAGAGAACCCGGCTTACAGCAGGGAAAAGGACTGGCTGCATATCCAGGGCATACTCGCTTGTATAAGATCCTTATCCAGGGCCCTGGGAGCCTCTTATACTGAGCTCAAACGTTTTTCTTGCCAGCTCTGCAAATAAGTGGCATGGAGAGAAAGCCAGAGAGTGCGGGCTTGCCCTTCTCAGCTTCCCCATTTATTTTTCTTCTGGGAAGGGAGAACCTGTGGGTGTACTCCACAGATGGGCCGCGTGGAGGTAAGCAAAGCTGCTGTTGGAAAACTTTCTCCACCCACTTTGTGTGTAAATGTGCACGTAGCCCAGTTTGGTATTAATCCACAAGCAGAGCAGTGGAGCCAATGGGTCAAAGTTGCCTGGGGCCCACCAACAAGGTCAGATGCCTAGCAAGGATACCGTACATTTCTGCAAGAATGACAGAGGTCAGACATGAGTTCATTCAGTTATCAATCGTTAATTCAGCAGGTACTTTTCAAGTCCCTACTGTGGGCTACAGGGGACCCCAGGAAGGGCTTTTGGATTGTGCGTATTTTCTTTGCCACAGACCTGGCTGTGCATGTCTTCTTTTTTATTTTTTGTAGAGATGCAGTCTCAGTAAGTTGCCCAGGCTGGTCTCAAACTCCTCGGCTCAAGCGATCCACCTGCCTCGGACTCCCAACATGCTAGGATTACAGGCGTGAGCCCCCACACCTGGCCTGTGCATGTTTGTTTTGTTGTTGTTTTGTTTTGTTTTTCTGTTTATGTTTATTTTATTTTATTTTTTTTTTTGAGACAGAGTTTCACTCTTGTTGCCCAGGCTGGAGTGCAATGGCACAATCTCGGCTCACTGCAACCTCTGACTCCCGGGTTCAAGCGATTCTCTTGCCTCAGCCTCCCAAGTAGCTGGGATTATAGCTGTGTGCCACCATTCCTGGCTAATTTTGTGTTTTTGGTAGAGACAGGGTTTCTCCATATTGGTCAGGCTGGTCTTGAACTCCTGACCTCAAGTGATCCAGCCGTATTGGCCTCCCAAAGTGCTGGGATTACAGGCATGAGCCACTGCGCTGGGCTGTTTTGTTTTCCTTATTTATTTTTTATTTTTTCAAGACGGGAGTCTTACTCTGTCACCCAGGCTGGAGTGCAGTGGTACAATCTCAGCTCACTGCAACCTTCACCTCCCGGGTTCAAGAAATTCTCCTGCCTCAACCTCCTGAGTAGCTGGGATTACAGGCATGCGCCACCACATCCAGCTAACTTTTGTATTTTTAGCAGAGACAGGGTTTTGCCATGTTGGCCAGGCTGGTCTCAAACTCCTGACCTTGTGATTCACCTGCCTCAGCCTCCCAAAGTGCTGGGATTACAGGTATGAGCCACCACACCTGGTCCTGTGTATGTTTTTAAACAAAGAATTGAGAATCATCTTCGTAGGGAAGAGGCCACAGGCTGCCCGGATAGTGTTAGCTGTAGCCATTCTTGAAGGTACTAGTAGGTGGTGTGATTTTAATAATGGTTTTCTTCCATTTAGCAGTCTGCCAGAGTGTTCTTCTTCATTTTAGGACCTTTCATTTTAGGACCCTTTTCAGAGCCCTTAAGGAGATGAGGTTAACTTCTACGTAGAGCAACTACTCTCAGGCAAGGCGCGGTGGCTCCCACCTCTAATCCTAGCATGTTGGGAGGCCGAGGCAGGTGGGTTACCTGAGGTCAGGAATTTGAGTCTAGCCTGGCCAACATGGTGAAACCCCATCTCTACTTAAAATATAAAAATTAGCTGGGCATAGTTGCAGGCACCTGTAATCTCAGCTACTCAGGAGGCTGAAGCAGGAGAATCACTTGAACCGAGGAGGTGGAGGGTGCAGTGAGCTCAGATCGTGCCATTGCACTCCAGGCTGGGTGACAGAGCAAGACTCTGTTTCAAAAAAAAAAAAAAGAACAACTATTCTCTTTTTTTATTCTCTTTTTTTTTTTTTTGAGACGGAGTTTCGCTCTTGTTACCCAGGCTGGAGTGCAATGGCGCGATTTTGGCTCACCGCAACCTCTGCCTCCTGGGTTCAGGCAATTCTCCTCCCTCAGCCTCCTGAGTAGCTGGGATTACAGGCACGCGCCACCATGCCCAGCTAATTTTTGTATTTTTAGTAGAGACGGGGTTTCACCATGTTGACCAGGATGGTCTCGATCTCTTGATCTCGTGATCCACCCACCTCGGCCTCCCAAAGTGCTGGGATTACAGGCATGAGCCACCGCGCCCGGCCACTATTTTCTTTTTATTGAGTACTTAAATGTGCCAGGACTGTTATTATAAGTAGCTTATAGATCTCATTTAATCTTCGTAACATTTTGAAGTGGGTTATATTTGCTTGTTAATTTATTTGTTTGTTTTGAGACGGAGACTCACTCTGTTGCCCAGGCTAGAGTACAGTGGCGCCATCTCAGCTCACTGTAACCTCTGACCCTGGTTCAAGCAATTCTCCTGCCTCAGCCTCCAAAGTAGCTGCAATTACAGGCACACCCCACCACACCCAGCTAACTTCCGTATTTTTAGTAAAGATGGGATTTCACCATGTTGGCCAGGACGGTCTCCATCTCCTGACCTCATGATCTGCCTGCCTCGGCCTCCCAAAGTTCTGGGATTACAGGTGTGAACCACCACACCCAGCCGGGTTATATTCTTAATTCCATTTTATGAAGGGAGAGATTGAGGCCTGGTTGAAGTCACTAGCCATTAGGTTGCT